ACAGACAAACAGGTAAATGGGGGTGACTGGGGACAGCCAGACTGGTAGATGGGGTGTCTGGGGACAGCCAGACAGGTAAATGGGGGTGTCTGGGGACAGCCAGACAGGTAAATGGGGGTGACTGGGGACAGCCAGACAGGGCCCTCACCTCGCGGCTCCACGCCGGGCCCGAAGACCTTGACGGCACTGGTGTCGACGGCGGGCTGGACGTTGACGCGGGCGGGGAACTTGGGCACGGCGTGCCCGCCATACTTGATGGTGATGGTGTAGGTGCCGGGGAAGGCGGGGCTGTAGGTGATGGTGTAGGTGCCGTCGCGGTTGTTCTGGATCACCACCTCGGCCTTGACCCCTGCCTCGGAGACGATCTCGATGGTGAGCGCGGCCTCGCCCGCCTTGGAGCAGTCCACCAGGAAGGTGGCGGTCTCGCCCGCTGTGCCGCGCTCCAGCCCCGGCCCGCTGGCCGTCACCTTGCTGGGGTCGAAGAGTGGCTGGATGTTGGCCTTGAAGGGCGAGCCGGGGATGTGGGCCTCGGCGAAGAGTATGTTGATGGAGTACTCGCCCGGCTCCGTCGGCAGGTAGGACACGGAGCACGACCCGTCCCCGTTGTCCTGGCACTCGATCTTGGCCTCGCACGGGCCTTCCACGGTCAGGCCCAGCCCGCCAGTGCCCGCGCCCTTGGTGTCGATGGCAAAGGGGGCCGGCTTGCCCACGAAGCCACCCTCCAGGCCCGGCCCGTAGGCGCACACCTAAAACGGGAGCGGGTGCACGTCAGCTGGGCGGGAACGGCTCCAGGGCAGCTGCCAGCAATGTCTTCTCTCCCTGCATGGTACGGGGGGTACCCCAGCCTGGCTGGGCAGGGGCAGACCCTGCCCCCCAAAGTGATCCCGGATCCTGCCCCCGAGAGCAGGCTGGGAAGGACCCCATCAGGCCCAGCTTTCTGCCCCGGCCCCTGAGCCTGGGACACTGCCTGGCATCTCCTTAGCCGGGCAGCGCCCTCCTGTGTCCTGCAATGCCCGCTCTCTGCCTGGCACCAGAGCACGGGGGTCAATTCCTCACTGCCATGCGCCGGACCGTGTGAGAGCCGGGAGCACAGCCCCCTGGAGTGGAGGGGGAGCTGGGGGGCACCGTGAACACGCCCCTGCCCCAGAGCAGACCCGGTGGGCGAGGAAGCCGGGGTGACCCCGAGGGGCTGGGCGTGGAGCAGCTCCACCCGTGGCTCGCAACCCCCCCTGGGGGTCACAAGGCGACAGGAGATGGTGCCCGGCCCATAGGCAGCCCCCACCGCTAACCTTGGACGGGTCCGGAGGCATCACCCCCTCGACGGAGAAGGGGCTGCCCGGCACGGGGTTCCCGTCGTAGGCCACATCCACCTTGTAGGGCCCCTCCTCGGGGGGCATGTACTTGACGGTGTGGATGTCGTTGGTGGTGCCTGTCTCCACCTTGCAGGGGATGGGCCGGCGGGAGGGCGAGGTGATCTTCACGTCCACCTGGCCCTGCCCCCCGGCGCCGCGGGTGTTCACCGCGAACTCCTGGTCCCGGCCCACGTCCACCTCTGCAGGGCGAGAGCGTCAGGGCAACGGAGCCGCGCCACGGTGCCAGCCCCTCACCCGCCACACCCCACCCTGCCCCTGCCTCGCCTCACAGTGCCACGCCCTCGCCAGCCAAACCCCAACTGGGCCACCCCCTCGCCCACTCTGCCAGCCCCTCGCCCGCCACACCCCACCGCCTCGCCCACCATGCCCACAGTGCCAGATCCTCGCCCGCCACGCCCCAGCCACACCCCATAGTGCCAGCCCCTCGCCCGCCATGCCCCAGCCACACCCCATGGTGGCACGCCCCCCCCCGCCACCCCCCCCCCCGCGCCCGCCACACCCCATGGTGCCAGTCCCTCACCCATGCCCCACCGCCACGCCCCACTGTGCCACACCCTCACCCAGTGTGCCCGACAGGGGCCACCCCCTCGCCTGCCACGCCCCACGGCGCCACCCCCTCGCCCGCCGCAACCCCCCATGCCACTGCCTCGCCCTATGGTGCCACCTCCTTGCCCACCGTGCCCACAGTGCCAGCCCCTCGCCCACCACACCCCACTGTGCCACTCAGCCCACTCGCCTGCCACACATCGCGGTGCCCCCTCCATCTGTGCCTACTCCTCCCGCACCCCGTTCAACCGTCACCCTGGCATTTTCCAGCCCCTCCAGCCCATCCCCCGCTCCCCTGCCCCCACTCACTGTTATTCAGTCCCTGCACTTTGACCTTGCTGAGGTCCAGGGGAGGGGCCACGCTGACGGTGAAGGGGCTCTTGGGCACGGGGTCCCCCCCGTACGTCACCGTCACGGCCAGATTGCCCTGCGCGGAGAGAGCAACTGAGTTAGGGAAAGGACGGCGGGCGGTGCCCAGCAGGGAGCCACAAAGCCCGGCTGTGAGTGTGCAGGGAACCATGCCCAGCTGGCGCGTGTGCTGGGGGGGGGTGCGTGGGGGGCGATGCCCAACCCTGAAGGGGGGTGATGCCCGGCTGGCGTGGGTGCACGGGGCGATGCCCAGCCCTGGATGGGGGCAGTGCCCGGCTGGCGCGTGTGCGGGGGGGCGGTAGATGCCCAGCCCTGGACGGGGCGGTGCCCATCTGGCGCATGTGCGGGGGGAATGCCCAGCCCTAGACAGGGGCAGTGCCCGGCCGGTGCGGGTACGGGGGGGGGCAATGCCAAGCCCTGGAGGGGGGTGGTGCCCAGCTGGCGTGTGTGCGGGGGGGGGGGGGGGGGGGGGGCCCCGCGCGGGGGGGGGGGGGGCGATGCCCAGCCCTGGAAGGGGGCGGTGCCCGGCTGGCATGCGTCCCGGCCCCTCACCTGCTGCACGGCGGTGTACTTGACGGTGTAGGAGTAGTCGTGGTTATCGATGATCTCGAAGTCCCGCACGGCCGGGCCCTTGGCTGCCCCAGCGAACTGCACGTCCAGCTTGGCCTTGCCGGCGCCCTTGGTGAAGACGGTGAAGTGGGTGGGTTTGCCGACCTCCACTCCTGGCGGGAAGGAGAGCGAGGGGCCGGGTCAGCGTCCTGCCAGCCCAACTTCCCCCGGCGCCCTGGACCCACCCGCCACACAGCGCCCCCCGCCGAGCCCCTGCCCCCTGCCCCTCCCCCCCGGACGGCGCCCCCCGCCGAGCCCCCACCCACTGCCCCCCCAGCACAGTGCCCCCTGCGAAGCCCCCACCCCGCTCCCCAGAGCCCGGCGCCCCCCGCCGAGCCCCCCTCACCTGTTCTGCTGAGCCCGGGCCCCTCAGCCTTCACCTTGCTGGCGTCGTGGGATGGGTCCACCTTGATGCGGAAGGGGCTGGTGGGGATTTCCTGGGGGGCACAGGAGAGAGAGAGGGGTGAGGGCCCGGCTGGAACCCGGAGTTGGGGGGCCAGGCAGGGGGAGACCCTCCCGCCTCTCCTCCTGGAGCCCCCCGCCTGCCCGGCAATCGCCCACAGGCTCCAACATGCTGCCCCCCTCTGGGGTGGGACGCGGCAGCCAGGCATACGGGCTGGATCCACCAGTGGGGACGTGAATTCGCAGCCGTGGGTCCCAGGGATGCCCTGGCCAGGCCCCTCCGGCCGCACAGACGCCCCCGGGCATGGGCTCTGTGCTGGCCCCAGGGCTCCCATCCCTCTCCCCTCGGCCTCCTCCTCAGCCTGGGAGAGCAGCACGCCCAACCCCACACCCGCCCCCGCCGGCTCAGGGGGCAGCCAATGGCAAGTCCCTCCCAGGATCCCCAGTCCCGGGGTGAGAGGTCACAGGGAGCCCCCTACAGAGCCCCTCGAGCTGCTCCCCTGGGGATAACGGTGGCTTTGGGACGCTGGTCTGAGGCCCCTGAGAGGAGATGGCCCCATGCGCCATTCCACTGCCCTGGGCCCGGCGCCAGCCTGTACCTGGCCGGCGAAGAGCACCAGGATGGCGTAACGCCCGGTGCCAGCCCGTACCTGGCCGGCGAAGAGCACCAGGATGGTGTAACGCC